TTGTCTTAGTGAACAAAGGACACCAACTGAAGTCAGAAATCAAACTTTGATGTCCTCCCAGCCAAAAACCATCAAACGAGATTTGCAGCATGAACAGCACAATCAGGGATAATAAATGACCTAGAGCAAAAAGAAAAGGATGCATGAAACACTATCCTTCAGGGGAAAAATAAGTATGTCCTTCTGAACATACTAGAGAGAAAAATATTTTCACCCCGAAGTCTGGGGATGGAATCCCTGATGCAGAGCTCAGAGACTACCTGTTTTTCATTTCTCTTACTGATGTGGATTACACCCATTGTTAATAAACACAGACTTTTGTTGTTAGCCTTATGAAATATACATTCTAAATTTACATTTAGTTGCTTTGCTGCTGGCAGCTGTCTTACATATCCATAGTGTTCATTTGGATTTACTGAGGGATATCCCTTCAAAGAGTGTCTTTTGAGTATTGAAGTAGAAAGAATTAAAAGAATTTGTTTCTTATTTGAGGTATTTTTTGATGCAGTCTTTTTTTCCCCACTGTGATTTAATATGTTCATGTAGACTTGTTGTTTCTGGCACAGTCTTAGAGATTGGATTTCTGAAATACCGACAGGTGTCTGGCTATTTTGCTGAAACCATAATCATAAAAATATGACTTTAGACATAAAGTCATAAGGTCATAAAGTCATAAAGTCATTAAGTGGGAGAAGAAAATCCATTCTAGTGTCTTCTTATTTAAAAATAAATTTGTAGTTAATTAGCCAATGCTGTTCTGCAAAGCTTTTAAGCACACAGAGGTCACCAAGAGTATATTTGTGTTTGATGAATTTGGTGGTAGAGAGAACTTTAATAGCACTTCAGCACAGTCAGAATCTTTGAGACAGGCACTTACAGAACTGTAATCATTTAGTGCTGTAATTAGATGGTATTTACCCCTTCTATACTGGTTTTTAACCATGTCCAGTTGGTCTTTCTTTGAATCATAATGCTCATTTCTCTCATCCTTTCATTAGCCTCTGGTGAAGAACAGCAAAATCTGCAAACACTATTAAACACTTCTTCTGTGAAAACCATAATTCCATATTATAGTGAAGTTTATTTTCTTATTCTTGTTTATAATAGAAGAATAATGCTTTTAGGGAGAAGTAGTATCTTTTATCTCCTATCCTGTCATTCCAGGCAAGAGACAGTGCTCAAGTCAGTTTCAGATCTGGAAATGAAGGATGAAACTGCTGGCAGAGAACAAAACAAATGCTCTGAGTTTAACTTTGTTATGGAGACTGGGTGGAAACCTTTGAAGAACAGGAATCATAAATAAAGGGAAGTAAAGTCATTTAGCTCCCATGAGGTAGAGTGGCTGTGCCTATGCTCACACTCAAACTAAAACACCATCTGCTTGCCAGTTCCAGACCCAACAGGCACCACATGGTCTGTGTCTCTATCATATAAATTCCTTTACCCTCACTAAGAGGGTGGCAACACCCAAAGTGCTTATTTGGAATATTGCCAGGCCAGGCTATCTCCCTGTGAGAATGTCACTTTTCTGGGGACTAGATGTGCTCCAGGGACTGAACAACAGCTTGACAGTGTCAGTGACAGCAGAACAGTGCCCGGCCTGAGCTGCTGCTTCATTCACTGCTGTTCACTGCAGGCAGAATAGTACTCCACCATAGTACTGCATACCTGAAGAACAGTACTCCTTAGTACCAAAATATTTATTTTAAAAAGTCATAGTAGAAGTAGCCTATCAAGCTTCAGCTTGACAGTCCGGAATGTCATAGCACTGGGGAAAAGAAACTAGGTTTTGTAAGTTAGAAAAATGCAGTCTTATTATGCAAGCTCAGTCTGTGGTCCCTTGTGTTTTCTAGTACATCAGGCACAACAGTCTCTTTCAAGCATCTTGTCACACACTATTTTAGTGTAATAGCAACAGCTTGTGAAGTTCCTTTGATATGCAACTTGTTACTAGAAACGATCTCTAAAAAATTAGACTAACCTGTTCTGAGACATGTGCTGTAGACATGGCCATCTGCCTCTCCCACACATCCGCTGTGTCCTCTCTCAGTCTTGTTCACTCTTAATTGTTCTGCATAAACAGGGTAGGATATAATATAACATTTTAAAATGTCATGTTTGCATTATAAGGAGTCAATTTTTGAAGATGCTTCCTCCCATTTGAGAGCTGTTATTTCCTATTTTCTTCCTAAATGTGTGTCCTATGTGCTAAATAACTTATTAACCCTTTGTAACTTCTGCTCATTGTTTTCCTGAATGACAATGTCTGCCTGAACATAATACAGCCTGCCTTTCAAGATACCCTAGATCTTTCCTAATTACCTTCTAAATGTGCTTTGCTGTATTTCAGATATAAATCAGTGGCATATGAGACAAATCTGTTGTCCCAGTCTGCTGTCTGAACTTTCCCCAGACACTGGGAACTGCATCGTATTATTGTTTGTTTTCTTTCATACAGGAATTGTTTTAAACTTGAAAGAAAATTATGTTTGTGATCAACAGGTATTTGATCCATTCTTCATGGGAAGAACTTTGAAGATCATTCAAAGGGACTCCTTTCTGCTGTGGAGCTGGAAGTAGAGTTATGAAATTAACATAAGTTCAAGATATGCCCATCACAGATAGAGGTCATCTCAAAAATCATACTTGTCGGATGGGTGACACTCATTTTAGACACTATGTTTTTTCTGTGCTTTATTTTATTATAAGCTGTGAGTTAAGTGAAGATTTTGGGTGGAAGTCTGTTACTATAATCTTATTTTCATTATTCCCTTTTTATATATCCCCAAGCTATAGGATATAAATGGTTGTTAACAATGAGAAGGAGAATTTATCTCCTCCACAAAAAATAGAAGTTTATCAAATGAGATTGTTATAATTTTCCATGGTTTCTTTTACTTCATTTTTTGTTCCATGCTTTGGCCTTGGCAGACCAAGAGCTTTTCTCTTCTGCCTGTCCAGATCCAAAACGTGTGCAGGGCAGAAATACCTCTCTGTCTGATGGAATACCACGCACTCAGGCTCTGTCTCTCTCAGCACTGATGCAATTTTGTTTTCCCTTAATTTTTCCCCACTGAAATCAAGTGCTGAGAGTGACTCCCAATGCCAGACTAAGTCTGAAGAAACTTGAGGAGTTCTGATGACAGAGGAATGATCTATCTGGCATAGGTGTTTGTCAGTGCTGCCCTGGTGCATTTCTGTAGAGTGTTGGGTGCTGCATTATATCACGGTATTGCTTTTGGAAAGTGATAGATGTAAGCACATGTATGTCAGGAGGGAAGCTCAGTGAGTTGTAGTAAGACTTGGAGTTCCACATGGCTGAAGGATGCTGAGCCCCACTGAGCCCTGCTTTGGGCTGATGCTGTGCCAGAGACTGGTGCCTGCCCCATGAGCATTTATTTCCTCCCCACCACTGGCAGCCCAACACCCTCAGCCGAGACCAGGATGTGCCCTCTGCAGTGCCCTGCTTAACTCTATACATCAGTAAGAGCACACATTTTATAAACTTCATAGAAACTCCCAAAACAAGCAGAAAAATTTACTCTTTCACTTGCAGCAAGAGAGAAAGGCAGGAGGAATAGTGACAATTATGCATCTTCACCAAACAAATAGCTCATCTTAGTGGCAGAAAATAAAAAGTTGATACAATCTAAAGCTGTTAAAAGCTGTTTAGGGAAAGCTGAAAAAGTGAAGTTTGTAAGGAGGAACCTAAGCATGACTTGATAACATCTCTGGGACATCTATTCCAGTGTTTGACCACACTCACAGTAAAAGGCTTTTTCCTAATGCTTAAGTGAAATATGCTGTATTTAAATTTGTGCCCATTGCCTCTTGCCTCTTGAGCATCACTGAAAAGAGCCGTGGAGCTTCTCTCTTTCAAGTGTTTTTACATGCTGGTAAGATTCCCTGAACCTGCTCTTCTCTAAGTCGAAAAATCCCAACTCTCTCAGCCTCTTCTGATATGTCAGCAGATATGCTGCAGTTCCTTCATATCTCTGTGGATCTGCACTGGACTCATCCCAGCATGTCCGTGTCTCTCAGGTACTGAGAGGTCCCAGCACAGCATCCCGGATGTATTTCACCAGGGTTGAGCAGAGGGGAAGGATCACCTTCCTTGGCCTGCTGGCAATGTTCTGTCTAGTTTAGCCCAGGAGGTTCCTGGCTGTCTTTGCTGCAGGTGGTTTTTGCTGCCTTGTGGTCAATGTGCTCACCAGGATCCACAGTGCCTCATGTCCCCAGAGATGCTCTGAGGTCAGCCCCCACCACCTGTGGGCTATGGGCTTATCCAGCCCCACACAGACAACTTGAGTTGGCTACCAATAAAAAGATTAAGAAACCTACTACATGGGACTCACAAAAGTCAGCAAGACCTGCCTGGAGATTGAGCCTTCTGTCTTTATCACTAGTGGTAGAGCATTTACCTAAGAAATCAGGCATGAATTGGGCTTTAGTCTAGCTCTAGGGAGTTTAGCCTTTCTATATATCCTGATCCTCAAGAGACTGAGTCTCCTATGGTTACCTTGAGGAAAATCAGAGCAGATAGAATAATTGCACTCATCCTCTTGAGGCTGGGTTCAAGCACAAGTGGCTGACATCACCAGAAAAGCCAAGCAGTACCCATGGAATACAGGAACTGACTATGCTGATTGTAGTGACCAAAGAACAAAGTGGCTCTGCTCTCTGCCCCTACTCCCAAGATGTGGGGGTTTTGCTCCTTTATTATTTGTTTGTTTATGTTGTTTAATGCTGTCCAATGTAAAATACATAAATAATCCTTGTAAAAGGGACAAGGAGCCGTATGAATCCCCTCCTAAGTACTGTAAGTGCTGCTAGACTACTGGCACTGCTTTTCCTTCAGGAAAGAAAGGGCTGCATTTTTTAGGATCTCATTCCCTTGAAGATGAGAAAGGATGTTGTTACATTTTCTGTCCATTGCCAAGGAGAGCAAGGCAAAAGGTGTGTATTCAAGTGGTTGTTAAAAAATTTAAATTGCAGTATAATTGTCTTGCTCAACATTTTATTAGAGTAGCAACAAAAATCCATTACAAATTAATCCCCACAGTAGCATGCATCCAAGAATTACAAAATGCTTATTTTGAACAGAAATTGTTCTACATTTATCAATAGTACATTTCTCTGAACAATTTCACAATATTTATAATAACCAAATATATAAACCACATGAAGTGATAGAATGAAACAGGAATTACTCTGGGTAGGTGAAGAAGAAATTCCCTCTAAACCAGTCTCTTTTACATAGTTTGTTAGAATTCAAATTTCCAAGATTCAGATTTGAATTTAAATCAATTCCATTGATTTCATCTATTCAAATGAATGAATTCAGGAGTCCAAATCAACTTTGGCTGAGCCAATTCACTAGCACTTGCTGTATCACTGTATCCCAGTAGTAATGAAAGGATCATGAGAAAACAAATCTTATTGAAAAGAACAAAAGAGCAAAGAAACAGTTCTGTCTGAAGAAGATATAAAGTATAGAAAGATAATTTTCAAATTTCACTGCAGTTTGTGGCAAAAGAAACAGTGGTACACACACATAGCAGAGAAATAAATAAACATAGCACTGTTGAAAGAACAATTTATCTTTTCACATTCTGGAAATAATGTTTTATTTTCAATGGTGACAGTGCTCAGATCTGGGGGGTGTGAGTGTGTCCAAAGTGACTGATCCAAGCCTTCACTGTGTAGCTGGAGAGGTACTGCAGCAGCTCCTGAAGTAGAATAAGTCCTTCAGTCCATTTTGCTGGATAATTGTTTTTTGAAGGGATGCTAGTGAAATTTTTATCATTTGACTTGTGTCATCCATTTCCAGAGGAGCATCATAAACCCTTTTACAGCACATTGGAGCTTCTTTGATACATCCTTTACTCTGAACTCAGGGAGGTCATGTGATAATTCGAACCAAAGTGTGTTACAAATAGACCTGACCTTTCTCAGCTGCACAGTTTACCTTCAGTGAAGGTTCTGAAATCTCATCATTTCAGACAGGAAGCAGCATATCTCCCCAAGCCAGATGCAAAAGTAGCACCTCTTCTGTCACATTCTGGACAAACTTCTAAATAAAAGTCCAATAAGAATGCAATCCCTTACATAAAAGATGTTAAATAGGGATATAGGCATGGATTTCAATATTGCTATCAATCAGACAATTATTTCAGACTAATGTTAAAAAGGAGTTTTCTCTCCACAAAATAAATATACAAAGATAGTTATATTGCTGCAGTCAGTAGTTGACATCCAGCCACTTTCACTTCCAGCTAAAAGAATTTTGATATAATTATCAATACATTTAAAACCACATAATTTACAAAAAATACATGCTCACATATATGCTTTACAACACTTGAGTACAAGAAAAAAGATTGCTGTCCTAAACACAAGGGCAAACAGAAATAGTCACATTAACATGATGTCTGAAAAAGTTTTGTTGTGTTAGCTATATATAAAAACAGCATGGATTTCAGAGCTAACATCTATAAAGATACAGTCACATCACATTATCAATTAAAATCACAACTCAGCTTAAATATGCCATTTTAAATATTGCGTTTCTGCACACAATTTTGCAATCATAATAATTTCTGTTAGCACAAATAAATACCAGAAAGAAACAATTTCTTTTCATTTTTGTTGTTCCTGGTGATGATGGATACAGTTACCTACACAGATTTTAGCCCTTGATGAAGCATCACAAAGAATATGTGCTTAAATACCTCACCTGAGCATCTGGTGGAGCAGAGGCTGAGAAAGCAGGTAGTTACTTTTTGAGCAAAAAGGCAAATAAAGGAGAGAATTCACTTCTGGTACTGTTGGTCTGCAAAAGCTGTAATTCAGTCTGTGCTCTGAAAGCCTTGAGATAAAAGTGTAAGTTTTTATGGTTGTTATTATACAAATACTGAGCTCATTTTTCACCCAGCCAGTTGTGCTCCTCACCAGACAGTCGGGTTTCCATGGAATGCTCTCTTTGCCTGCTGCTAGTCCTGCACATCTCGGTTTTAAAGTAAGAAAAGCAACTAGTTCTCGCACCTCTTGAGATATTCTGGAAAGTAGGGCCTTCTCTAACACAAATGAAAAGGTGCCAGACTGAAAACAGCATGTGAAGAGCAAAAGGAGCGTCCAGGCATCATCTCCACTTCTGCAGAGGCCACCTCTGCAGCCTCTCCCTCCAGCTCAGACTGGGAATCAGCTCTCAGAAGCAGCAAACAGTCTTCATCAAGAGTTTGCAAAGTCAGACAAAGACCTTTCTCAGTCAGACACAGGAACTTGTCTTCACTTTGAATGTCTCTTGGCTAAGCAACCATAAATTCCTGCATAAGGTTTATGGATAATTCAATTTCTCTGTGACAGGTGCTTTGGAGGAAATGTTACACAGGTTGTGGTACCTCTCCCTGGCTTTCCCTTATCATGGCAAACTGTAGCTTTAAGCAAGTGTAAGCAGTAAAATGCCATAGAATTCCATATTTTCACTTTAAGCTCTACAAAGGAAAGGTTTGCCCAAAGCTGTGTCACAGCTACAGAATTGTATTTATGAGATTAATTGCTAGGTACTAATTTAAGAATACATTGGTATCCTTCTCTCTGACTCTTGAGTCCTAGCCAATTTGCATACTTGGCTGAGACCTGACTTACTCTGTCATTTTAGTCCTTCCTTATTATTTTAAGAGCAGTCTGGGCATGCCCTTCCAGTCCTGTGGGGATGCAGACATCATTACAGAAAAAGACCCCACTGCATGTGCCTGCCTGGTGGCCTGTGCTGCTCAGATAGACAACCTGGCAAGCTGGGAAAGGCACAGGATTTGGGAAAGATTGCAACATGGCCTGCATGGGTCCCGCTGCTGGCTCTGCTCAGACAAAGCTCTGCCAGCTTCTAGGATTTTGTCACACCTACACTGCTGGTTAAAACCTTGCTGTTGGTTCCTTCCATCCCTGCAGTCACTCTGCCAAGCTGGAAAGAGCCTACTGAGCTCTGCAAAGGTAAAGCAGGAGTTAAAGTGAGGATGCAGACAGAGCAGGATACAGACTGTTTGCAAAATCACAGAATCACAGTGTGAGTCAGGTTGGAAGCGACCACAGTGGGTCATTTGGTCCATGCCCAAGCAGGGTCATCCCAGGACACATGGCACAGGACTGAGTCCAGATGGTTCTTAAATATGTCCAGTGAGGGAGACTCCACAACCTCTCTGGGCTATTTGTTTGCTTCCTCCTCTCCTTGTAGTGAATGCCCAAAAGATCCTTTGGATGCAACAGACACAGGTTCATGGCTTTAACATTCAAATCCAAGGCCTATCAGGGTATATTTAGTTCTCTTTAAGTTTGCAAATATAGTTGAATATTAGTGAAAGTGGCTTGAATTATGGAAGTGGCCGTGTAGGGAAAAGAATATTGGAATATTCTGGATTATATACTGGAATACAGCCTTACAATGCTGTAGAGGCTACCTCTTTCACTCACACTGAGCAGCTTTGTGACTCTTGGGGATGGGTTGTGCAGGGCTGGGAGTTGGACTTGATGATCTTTCTGTGTCACTCCCATATCAGCCTGTTCTGCAATTCTGTGAATCAGGTATTTACAGGTATTTAAATATCATGTACAAGAGCTGTGCAAAATGCTCGTGACAAACAGGAATACACAGTCTCTTTCCTGGGCTTCTGCTGCACAGAAGTGAGAAAATGTACTTCTAGCAAGTACAAGAGCTGGCCTAGAGCAAAGCTGAAGCAATACAGGATAGACATGATACATGTAGACACAATATCATGTATTTCATGCAGCTGCCTTAGGGACACTGGCCCCAGGCTACTTATCATGGGTCTGAGTGGGAAGAGCAGGGAAGGAGCTATGCTGGGAATTAAAAAGCCATAATGACTTCCCTTCTGACAACACTTTATGTCCTAAAGTATTCCAATAGATAAACTTTGAGACATTTAAAAAACATTTAAGAAGTGTCATTTTTCTCTGAATTTTCCACTTTTCCCCAGATATTATCAATATTAAAGCGCTAAACCCCTTCTAGTGCTCTGAGACACAATTGGTATTGAACCAAGATAAAAGGAGCTGGTAAAAGCCTGTTGCATATTCTTCAATATCTGTCAAGTTCCAACAGAGTTCACTAATAGCTGAGACCTACATTTAAAGTGGTATATCTGGTACCTCTATAAACCTGATTGCTGAAAAAAAAATATTTAAAATGCTTCCTACTGACATTTTAATTTGTTTGTTCCCTGCTGAAAATTCATTGAAGGATCTTCTAATTTCATGCTGCTCAAGGTAAAAATAAACTGAAGAAAAGAAAGATTTTGTGCTCTTTGCCCTCAGATACCTTTTTATTGAAGCATACTATGATGGCTGCAATCAGATTTGCATGGAAGTGGGATGAGGAAGTCATTGGCAGGTAATTACTGATATTAGCAGCAATTTTGGCTGCTGTTGGAAGGTTCCCCCCAGGTGCTGCCCAGCACAGCCACACATTAGAACAGCTCCTCTCCTCACCTCTCGTCTTCACAGGGAGCATCATCCACTGCCCTGCTCTGTGTCCGTGGACATGTCCTGGTGAGCCTTGCTCATTCTGAGATCACAGACCACTCTTCAGTTAATGGGAAGAAGGATTTAAGTATTCTACTGAAGCCAACTCACCTGCCTGAAGTGAGATTAACTACTTCATTCAGTTAGCCTCAATAATATACTCTTTTCACTCGTAAGGCGGTGCATTTTCTTGTAGGGCAGAGGCAGTTATGTAAAGATTTATGGTAGCTTCTGGAATTCTGTGAGCAGAAATGTCCTTACAATTCATACAATTGGTAGGAACAGAGCATCCAAACGTCTTGTATGGCTGCATACTCAGAACAAGGTCAGCCTCAGGCCTGAAAATGAGAAGAAGCAAACTGAGAAACAATATTTTATACTCTCATAGCATCCACAAAAACAAATGAAAAATAAGCCTTTTTGTAGATCATGTATATTTTTAAGATCTAAAATGTTCATAAAATGTTCATAAACAGCATTTTGGTAGTATTGTGTAATAAATGCATCATGAAAACGGCAATGTGCATCATCAAGAGTGCTGGGTTAAAGAGATGTGCTACATACATGGGGATGTTTGCAGGTAGCACAGAAATGCAGGGGACTTTCAGCAGTTTCAGAATGAGAGTGCTGGTGTGTGGGAGAGCCCCTCCTTAGCCCCAGCTGTCTACTGGCACCAGGCTAGTAAAGCCCCAGCTGGAGTCAAGGGGAAAGGCTCAAGAAAATGCCCCAATGCCCTCCCTGCAGCCAGCCAGAGCAGGCCCAGAGGAATCACTGAGCTCAGACACCAACATCACCCTCCTGCCAGATGTGTACGTGAGGCACCATGCCTCAGAACCACTTTCTGATGCTCCACTAGAGCCCACTGCTCCTCAGAAAAGAAGGCTTAATCTGATTGTTTCTCTCCATCCTTTTCCATGCTTCAGATCCTCCAAATCCCATCATTATTGGCACAAAGCATTTGAAAACATAAGTTTGCAGAGCCGGGCAGTTGTCCCTGCCTGCCATGGCCTGTCCCTGTCCCTGCCAGCCTCTCCCAGCCCTCTGCAGGGCTGCCTGGCTGAAAGATGCCCCAGCACAGCAACACGTACAGCAAGATGTACAGCAACATGTACAGCAAGATGGACAACAACATGCTCTGCTTGGGGAAGACTCCAGAGCAGACACTGACATGTATTTACTGTTACCTTGGATGACAAACACGTATCACCAATGGACAATTTTGCAGAGGACATGTAGGTATTGGTAATATCTTCTAGCTCAGTGCTGAAATGATCAGAATCCTTGATGACATTATAATTTAGAGCCATGCTGTAACTGGCAGGTTTCTTCTCCTGTTTCTGCTGGTATTTGCACAGTTTCCTGAAGGCCGCTCTGAATTTCTGAGACATGAGATTATAAATTACAGGATTGATGGCACTATTTAAATAAATACAGATTCTGCAAAACAGAAGGAACCAGTTTTCTTGGAAGGGTCTGGAGAGAAAGGAATTGACCACAACCAGGGTGCGGTAGGGCATCCAGAGGAATGCAAACAGGATCACAACCACGGCCAGCATCTTGGTAACCTGAGGGAACACAGAGGGAGACACAAGAGGGGCAGAAGGTTAGCACTCCCCTTGGAATGAGCACATGCATTCTTACACCTCTAGGGCCAAACCAAAACTCTGGATGGATCCTTCAGTAGGAATTTCTGATGAGTATTTGATTCAGAAAGGTTTTCTACAATAGGAAGTACAAAAACCTTGGCTTCAAATTCTTCCTAGTTTTTGTTAAATTACTCTTTGCAGATGATACCCCAGTAAGCTAACTGTTGTAGACCTTAGACATTTCCACTTCTTATGCTGGAAGGAGCTCTTGACTCAAATGGGAAAAAAAGGATAGAAAGTATTTTTTTTCCCCAAATACGTTGAATCTCTTCCTTTAGACTAGTATAACCTGTAAAGTAATTGAACATGAAGCCTTTGTAGGTTATCTGGTTTAACAGTCAGCCTAAAACAACTTCCCAAAGCCAAAAATAAGGAAAAAAGAACAGAACAATTAAATTTCTATTCGTCAAATCTTCAATATTTAATTAGATCTTCATTATTCGATGTTTACTCTGAAAAGTCAAATAAAGTTTACAGAGCTAGGGAAAAAAAGGATTATCAATAAAACTTGATGGTTATAAGAACTTTATTCTATTATGTAATTTTCTTTTGAAAAAGGAAAAGAATCACCTTTGGGAATACCCAGATCAGCTGAAATGAAGTGAACAAGAAATAATAAACAATTATTTAAACCCACTTTAAAACTAGTCTTTCTTTTGTAAATAATTTAATTCTAGTGTAGATAGTATTCAATAGTTTCTACATTAAATAAAGTTTGAAAGACACTAACAAGTAGAAAGCACACAGAAATGTGATGGGATGATGCAGTGGCACAACCTCATGGAGGTCAGGAGATGACTTGGTTAACTGTGTGAAACAGAAAGTGTTGGCCCACATTCTGTTGAGCTACAACTGCTTCTTTTGATTGTAGATGGAGAAGAGTTTCAAGAGGAGGTAACTCCACTAAGATCACTCACAAACACATGCTAGTTTTAGAAGTGAGTTTTAGTTTGAAGTTGTGAGTGTATAATTCTCTTGTCTTCTGACCAGATAAGCTCATTATATAGAAACCTGCCATCACATTGCCTGATGAATATATTTTTCCTATCTATCTTGAAAGACACACTTTTAAGCAAATTTGTTTGGTTTGTTATAGGTATTACAATAAAGAATGTGATGAAAATCAGTTACTCTACAAATTGATGTATCTATCTATTTTATCAGTCTTTGAGTGTACATATTCAAAGGCTGCAATTTTATCTTATGGTTCTCCTCCCCTCACCCTTACTTTTGATTTCTCTACTGCTACGTTCAGTAGAAGTAAAAATAAGACTGAGAAATACTATCTCCTTTTTATCACTTGATTGATACTTTTAATTATTAATTCTAGACTGTTTTTTTCCTAATATTCTGTGCACAGTCATTGTAATAGGGCAAAATACAAATGTGAATGTTCCAGGTAACTCAAAGGATGATCTCTCCCTATCTCCACTTCTGAAAGGACCATTCCTGTGAACATGGGGGCAGGAGAGAGCTCACCCAGTACTGACCCACTATGGCTCTCATGCCTCCAGCTCAGCTCCAGCCTGTGCTTCCTAACTGAGCAAATCCATTCAGTGGAGAGCAACCATTCACTGTAGAAAATAATTCACATTGAAACGAAGAAAGCCACCAGTTGTGGAGCCTGGGTGAACAATGGGCCAGAGCCAAACCAACAGATGTGTTCCTTCAGCTCAGGCATTCCGTGCCTAACAGCTTACACAGGCATCAGAGTACTTTGCTACCAGAAGCTCAGCAGGGCACTCCATTATGATACCTACCAGTCACTGGTAGTTCACATTTCTTCCTGGAAAAATTGCTCAGAGGATCATTTGCACAGTTGCAGCTATCAGTTTGAATCTGGACTAGAAGTAAATTATTCTTAATGTCAAGGAGGTGTAATTCAGAAGTGCACAATTAACACAGTACTGCAATGAACAAAGACAGTTGCTCCTCAAGTGACTTTATCCCATATACTGAATATATATATATATATATATAATATGTATGTTTGTATGTATGTAGTGTGCAAATTATTAGCTGAATTTGTGTTTATTGGCATTTGGATATGCATTTTCTCTCTAACAACAAAAGCTTCTTCTGCTGGAAACTAAGCACTTGTAGAGCTCTGTAGAGCTGGTTTTCATTTTGCTGAGGTCAATGAACCAACTCATGTACTCACATGGCTCCTCGGAGTCTTCATTCATGGCAAGAGAAGAAGCAGAATCCACGGGTGGCATCTCTTGGTGGTTCAGTCCATGCAGGACAATGAAGAGAATTCACTATAATTTTAAACTGTCTGCAGTACATACCCTTCCAAATCTTCCAAAAATAACCAACCTCTCACAAGATCTCTATTGCCTGTCAGAAATTCAGTTTCCTGATCCATCTGACCAGCTGTGGTTGTCTCTGAGACACGATGAGGCCCTGATTTCAGGTAGTTATTTGCCCATTGGTAAATCCTCCTTAAGGTGGCTCTGGAGTGGTCCTTCATGCTCAGCCACCTCACACCACGACCTCTGTGCAAATGAGAGCAGCTCCCAGGAAGTGCTCTGGCAAGGCTTGCTTTGTCCCAGCATGGGAATTGTCACCCCACTGCAGGATGAGGCACCACTCAGGGCTTCTGACACAAATTCACCTCAATTTGCTTTATAGGTGAACCCATTATCTAAATACTTGACTGAGGCCAAAGCTGCATTCTTATCCACACAAAAGTCTTTATTGCTGAACGTAAATAGTTTAGAGGAAAGTTTGGTTCTCTTTGTTTAATGTTTAAAATGCCATATCCTTTTTCAAATAACTTCATATGAAACAGAACTAAAAATGTATTGGGAAGAGGCTAATTATTTGTCATCAGACGAGTGAGTGCTAAGAGGACAAATTTTAAAGGAACATGTTTTTTATTGCCTGCAAGCATACACCAAAGCTCCCTGAAAGCAGCAGCACTGCATCCTCAATTCACTGCTCCAGTGAAGGCAAGCATACACTGCTCTTTGTGGATGTGCACTGTATGTCCTATGCTCAGGGTACAAATTATTCTTAGTTAGGGAAATTGAAAACATGGTAAAAAGACTTTGAGCAATTTCATCTCAGTCCAAATTTCAAGTGCAGTTTGAATGATAACAAAGTATTTGGAGACTGAGTATGATCCTGGCTGCATAGTAACATGCTTCAAGCCCTTTTTATTTCTGAGGATGTTCTAAAAAATATTTAAAATATATTTTACTGAACAGAATCCAAATATTTTAATTCTGAACTAGTATTCTCCTTTTCCTTCCTGCTCCAAACGCTTCTTATTCTAAGGAAGTGGTTTTTTTTAAACATTTTCATTATCCTGGTATGAACAGTTTAGTATTGCTTCCTTCTCCTTTGAGTACTAATCTTTCTTACACTGATAGGTAAAAGCAACAGTCACTCTGGTGTTTTAAAGCCATGTAATAACATCTTTCTTCTTGTGTGTGGTTGTGTTCATTGCAACACACAGAGATGGTATATCCCAGTCCATGATTTCACAATCAAAAAGAAGTTGTGCAATGAGGAGGATGATTAAATAAATAGAAGGATTAAGGTCTTGATACACTGACACCACAAGTGAAACCAAGTGATAAGATTGAGGATTTCATGTAAGCTGCGCAAAATTTATCTTGCACTGCAAGCTGGAACCTGTGCTTGCTCTGCTGTGTGAGAACAAAGGGATTTCTCTGGTGAGCAGGTCATCACAGACTGCAACACAGTCTAGGAGAGGACTTTCTCTAGAGGGAAATCTACCTGTTGAAACTGACCGTGATAGCCATGATGAACTTAGATTATTTCATTGGACTAACCAACTAACTTGGTGAGATACACATACTGTTAAGTGAGCTGGATTCCATCTGAGGTATAAACTTGACCATAAACATGTTTGCTATGTAAGGCTGCATTTATTTTCCTCAGTCCCCTTGATATCTGGGGAAAGTCAGAATTCCTTTGGGGAAAGTATGAAACCTACATGCAAATATGTAATTCAGAATTCATATTATGAATGGAAAAGAAAAATAATCTGGGGTCTTCTGGCTGCAGGACCCACACTGAAACAGAGGAAAAGGGTGAGAAGGAAGGATTGACAAGAGACCAACCCCTGCAACCTTACTGCAACACTCTCTGGCCCCACACTGCTGGTTGCTGCAGGGAAGGGACTGAGTGTAACTTGTGGCTATAACAACAGGCAATAAATTGGCAATAGTAATTTTCCCCAAGTCAAGCCTGCACTGCCCATGACAATTACTGATTATTTGTCTGCCTGTCCTTGTCTTGAATCATGAAGAATAGGAACACCTCCCATTTTCTCCTCCAATCTCAGCTGGAGCCAAGCCCCCTGCAGAAACATGGATACATTAAATTTTATAGAAATGTTCTTGGATAAATATGAGAAGTGCTACAGAAGTAGGAAGCGTGCACCAGATTTTCAGTCACCTTTTCTACAGATGGCATGCTGGATATTGTACACTACTCAATGCCTGCAACACAAACACAGGTCTGAGAAGACACAGAGTTTCACATTTCAGCAGGACTCACTGTCAGGCCAAACTGTATTGTCAGCTATACATGTCCTCATCAGCATGGCAGGAACTTTTCCCTTTCGTGTCTTACAAACTGTTGAGATTCTAGATGTTTTTTAATAGGTACTTGTTTTTTCTTGTTTTACACCACTGCCTATCTTTTGCATGCTGCTATTATGCGAAAAAGATTATTCATTATGCCACGCTATCCTTGTTTTGCCTCCCATGTTATACTATATGCAAATTCTAGCTTTACTTAAAATGAGGCTGCTTTAAGCAATCAGATTGCTTAGGCTTTTAGAGAAAGTCCTGCTGTCTTTACAGGGCATATATCACATTATAATCTTCATAATATAACAGTGTCCATATTTACTAGTGTCCAGTTTGAAAGATTTGTCTGTTTTTCAAGTGATACTAAGCACATGTAATCAAGCAAAAAGTGATAGTAAGAACTTGAAGAGCAGATTGTATTCTTCTACTAATTAATGGACAAAGAAAAACAACATTAAACACTTCTTTTCTGACTATTAACTATAATTGGCAACATAATTAAATGTAACCTAGCCCACTTATTTCTGTTGTGTGTTTCCAAGCATAGCTCTAGTGCTCTCTGGGGGCTCGGTGCTGTAGAAGGCAGCTCAGTTAACTTTTGAGGTCTTTGCCATCACTGTGATAAGAGAACGTGGTCCCTCTCATAAACAGTAGCAATTGACGCAAAATAAGAAGAATATAAAGAAGAAGAAGAATATCCCCCAGAGCCAGCTGCAAAAGATGCACCCTGTGTTTCCCATCACTGCACCAGCTCTGCTACCTGTTGCACACCTTGTGGTTTACTGCAAATAGCCAGTAATTATTCTACTAACCACATTCCACTGGTATTATTACACACAGCAGTATACATATTCAACAATATAAAAAGAAGCTAGTGAAGCCTATGCCTCAGTCTTGAACCATCAATACATAGAAATATTTTATGAGAGAAAGAAAAACAAAGATATTTAGCATTTACAAAGCAATTTATATACAGACTTGCTTAAAGAGACTTGTCACAGGAATATTAGAGACAGGAAAATTTACAGCTTGACTGCATTTGCTGAGTGACATAGTGCCGTAGCTAGGACTCAGACTCAAGTCTCCCAAATTCCCAGGCTACCTCCCTCCTCTCAAATATCAAAAATAAGTCAAGAGTCACTTTGTATATTTGACAAGGTTACTAACATGCTGTAATACAAAATAACTATAATTAAAAATGTTTCCTTCATAATTGAGACTTCCTAAATTGCTTTCTGATGTAATAAAATAAAAATAAAAAATAAATAAAATATTGTTTCTTTTTTTTGGTCCTTGCAGTAGGTAAAAATGTACAGGCAAGAAAAGATATGTATTTTTATGTATATGTGTATCACTGATTTTAAACTCGACTACTTAGAAAAAAGAAAGAATATATTTTACCTCTTTCCACAGCTTCAGACAAGTGAGCCTTAAAACAAGTGGTTTAGGTTTCAGAAAGCCATTTCAAATATTGTTCCTACCTGCCTTCGAGAAGCAATAGTGCTATTGAAACTCCTGTCAGTCATCCTGGAATTCACAGGCTTGCTTTGGTGAGCCACATCATCCCTCCAGGTCTTTGAGTTTTCTTTTGGGTCTGAAGGGATGGGGTTCAGGAACAGTATTCTAGCAATCAGGCCATAGAGGACAGTGGCCAATACCATTGGCACAACATAAAAGATACCAAAGTCCATCATGTAGATAGGAGAGTAATAGCTCCTGGAGACCTTGTAGCCACAGGATACAACAGTAGTCTCTTTGTAGGCTACTGTATTAAGGTCTAGCAAGAAAAACCAGAGCATACAGTATATGGAGGTGAAAGCCCAAACAAAAATAATGATCTTTTTGGCTCTTGAAAAAGTGCATAGGAATTGAGCTTTGATTGGGTGGCAGATGGCTATGTACCTCTCAATGGTGAAGGCAGCGATGGAAAAGGACGAAGCGTTGATTCCCAGGTACTGGAGGTAAGTGATGCAGAGACACCCGACGTAGCCGTACACCCAGGACCCGTACAGGCTCTCTGTGATGTTGGGTAGTCCTGCAGCCACAAGCACCACGAGATCTGCCACAGCCAGGCTCACCAGGTAGCAGTTAGTGGGAGTTCTCATGTGCTTGGTTCTGAGGACCACCAAAACCACCATGATGTTGCCCACGATGCCCAGCCCGCAGATGAGGAGGACCAAGAGGATGGTGACCACTTGGTATTCAGCTGTAATGACCTCCTGGCTCGATAGTGGCAGCCCAGTCTGGTTCTGCTCGTCTGCTGTGCCATTCTCCATCTTCAGCCCACTGCTGCTTCTGCCAAGCACTCGATCTCAGCAGCTGCTGCTGTCCATGGTCCCCCGCAAAAGGGTCAGTGGAGCAGAGCGTGGCTGAGCTGCAGCCCCGGAACTCGCTCTCCATGTAGTCACAGCCCCATTCCTGTACCGTCCTCCACTCCCCCTGAGGCGCTTTCAGCCTTTGTGAAGTCAGCTACCAGAGGGGTTAATCCCTCTGAGACTCCAGCTCACTTGCACTACAGGGCTGTTTGTTTTCTCCCAGCTGTTCGGAGGCGTGCGGGAGGGCAGGCGGGAGGGGAGCGGAGCGCCCGGCTCCAGCGGCGGGGCCGGGCCGCTCCCGGCCGGCTGCAGCGGCGGGGCCG